ACATGCCAGCAGAAACTATGGCCCTGCTCAAAAGCGTTCTGCCTCAGCCTACAGAAAATCTGTAAGCAAAGCAGGCAAAGGGTACAACCTCACTGCTCCTAGCCAGAGCTGGTCACACTGCCCGGGGGGTTCACAGGCCAGATCCCCAACTTTGCTTTCAAAAAGAGAAGCCACCTGAGCTGGGAATTTGTCACCAAGGGAAAATTCTGTTGGTTGTAAGTGCCTGAGATACGTGGTCAGGTGACATCATGGCTGCAGTGGCCATGTTGAAGATAGAATTACGTAGCTGCGGAAACTGAGAGGAAGTCTTTGAGAGAGAGATGGAAACAGTCAGGGAGAAGCAACCGAGCTTTAAGAAAAGAGAGAGACTGGAGTCCATTTAGCTGCCTCCGTCTGGGCCTTTCCTGGCTTCTCAGCACCTCCTGTGTGTCCCAAGGTCTTTTACTATCCTCCCAATCAATCCCTCCACAAACACTAAGCCTTTCCACATGGCTCAATTTGAGTGTAGAGCAGAAACCAGAACAATGAAAGCCAGGAGAACTGCCAAAGATCTATAGGGAAAATGTTCTATCTTCCAAAATGTAGAAAAGATTTGTTCTGGAATCTCCCAGATGAGTAAGACTGCAATTCATTTTTTGGAAAAAAATGCTAAATCAGATGCTAAAAATTATGTGCTGACATGTACAAAGAAAAAGGTCATTATGGTACATGGCCTCTTCTAGGAAGAAGTCACACTGAAGCAGCATATGTTTCTCCTCGAGAGAATGTCAGAAGAGAGAGGTAGTTCTGAGAGGTTCACGGACAGTCCCCTGTGAACCCTGTGAGAGTGTCAGAAAGGTGTGAAAGACAGTTCATGGGATGCTAGGTGTCATGGACAAGAGAGCCACAGTATACAGAATCAGGTATACAGCCTGATTCTGCCACTTACAATCTTTGTAACTCCCTCACTTTTTTCACTTGATATTTCCTACATTAAAGCACTGCTATAAGAATTATACAACAAATAATATATGTTCAAGAAATATTAGCTATGATTACTGACTTATTTAAGTACCGACTGACTATTCCAAAGATATTTAATAAATTGATCCCTTTTAGCCCAAAAGAATCTGTGACTTCAGAGTGTTTAAAATAGGTGCCATCTTGCATGACAATTTTATCAATTATTTCTGGAGAAATAATAGGCCAATGGCCAATGAGTCTTTATGCAAATAAATAATGTTTTAAAAGAGCAATGAATGAGGATCCTGAGGTGATAGAATTCTCAGAAAAGTAAGTATAACCTACTAGGAATAATATCCTTTCAGATTTTTTAACTACATAAGGCCATAATGATTCCCATCAAGTGACCTGCAGATTCTGGGTCTTGACATAGTTATAAGCACTATAACTTGGTTATCAATAAATCCCATTTAAACGTCAACTTGTTGTTGAAGTATTTGAATTAGGTAACAGAGTCCTAAACTTCTTGGTCATGAGCAGGTCAGTGGGAGTGTGACATCCAATTCTGGGGGTCACATTTGGGGAGACAGTGACCTAAAGAGAACATGTAGAAGAACATGTCCCATGAAAAATTGGCACATGAGGACCAGTCAGAGATAGGAACCGTGAGCCCTGAAGAGAGAGACCACAGCTTACTCCATTCTGGTCTGTTCCAGAAGATTCAGTCTATGCTCAACTCCTTCTGGCTTCTTCACAATGTGATCTGTCTCCTGCCACCCCACAAAGACTGCTCTGTCCAGTCACATAAATCCCCAGGAGACACTTCCCAATCCTGACCTCTCATAACTGTGCTGGAGCATCTCACTACCCTGATTGCTATCCCATTCTGTTATCCTCCCTTCTCTTGGCTTCCATACCATAGTAACCGCTTAGATTTCCTCTTCTCATCTCACACTGCTCTCTGTTGTCTGGACACCTACCCTGGGTTTTCATCTATCTTTGTGCCATTTTCTCCCAAATCCATCACTTCCATTTGCACACTCAGTCACTATTAGAAACCTCCTCTTCCACGTAGAAACTTAGGCTCAGATGCAAATGAAAAAGTGAAATCAATATGTAAAATACGAACAGAATACTTTAAGGTTGATTTCTAATTGCAATGAGCAATTCAGTTTTTCTCTTTTAAGTAACTGACTCTTTCTATCACTGAATATTTTATTTCCAAACCTGTCCAGAAGACAAAACAATGAGGGAGGGGTTTGGTACCCAGTGGGATCTTTACCAACCCACACCTCTCAGCAAAGTTAGGCATAGTGTTTGACCAGCACCTAATCAAGTCTTTTTATAGTTTCAGTATTAATTCAAAATAACTGAATTCTGGCTGTAGTAATTCACTCAATTGGGGCTTGGCTAAGTCACTTGGAAAAAAAATTTTAACTACAAGTTATTAACATAATGGGAACTTGATTTTTGTGCTTGGGATTTTTCTCTGCTTAAATGGCTATTTGTGCTTTAAAAATTTCCATCCTAGGCCAGCCATTGTAGCTATTGCTCTGGTCTTGCCCCTTGGCTTATAGAGATGGAAAAAAGATCTCCTGCCTCTCTCTGGCAAGAATATTGTTCTTTGGAAAGCTTTTCTGAACTTCTGGTTCTCATTCTGTGTTTCTGCTGCTTTCACCATCAGTGTTGCACAACAGAAATGGCTTGTAACACGACAGACACATCATCGACGGGGGCCTCTAACTGCTCTGTAATGTTGGAACAAGTAGTTGTTTTTTTATTCGAGTCTTCCAACGTCTCCAAAAATTACCTGATGGGCTTTTCTTGTGACCATTCTATCATTAAGTGAGTCCAGAGTGGAGTCCAGTTCCTGGAAAAAATGAATCTCATTTCCTCCCCACTCTCTGTGCCAACGTCTCCTGTAAAGTTGAGTCCAAAAGCTTTGTCTTCTCTCTAGCTTTCCCCATATACATCATCAAATCACCACGAGGGTAGCTATTATGTTGTTATACATGCAATCCACTGCAAGGTGATGTGTTTTATTTTGGCTTATGCTCAAAGTTGTAGGATTGAAATGAACATGCAGGGATTTCTAGAAAGGCCAATCTGGAATTCAATTCTTTCTTATTAATTATCACTATCATTAGACGGGTACTAAATGTGTCTGTGATATTCAATTTAATCAGTACCACTGGAACTCCTCTAATGCCCCAATGTATAAGTGCTCAGGTTACAGTTGGAAGGAGACAATGCATCCCTTCATGAAGCCCACAAGTCAGTTGGGCATAAGAATAGTCACAACTGGTAAAAATAGATATGATCAGCTGCAATGCTTGTGGTACAAACAAGGGGCTTTTAAAGTAACTTGTCACCATGTGAAGAAAACAAAAACTGCTCCAGGTAAGCACATTGTGAGGTCCATCTTACTGTAGATCAAGAAAGGTGGATTTTAAAACCATTGCCAAGTTCATGATTTTAAGTTTGTTCCATGCCATGTCATATTTTCATAGAATACTGACTGGTAAACACTAAGCTTACTATTTCTATAATACTCTACTTTTATGAATATAAATAAGATTTTTTTAATCAAAAAAATTACTCCTGGCTGGGCACAGTGGTGCATGCCTATAATCCCAGCAGCTCAGGAGGCTGAGGCAGGAGGATTACGAATTTAAAGCCAGCCTCAGCAAAAGTGAGGCGCTAAGTAACTCAGTGAGACTCTGTCTCTAAATACAATACAAAATAAGGCTGGGGATGTGGCTAAGTGGAAAAGTGTCCCTCAGTTCAATCCCTAGTAAATGCCCCCCCTCCAAAAAAAATTACCCCTGAAAAGCAAGAAAAAAAGAAAAGAAAGGAATCTCATTATATTTAGGCCCTCAGTTTCTTAAGGTAGTGGTGTTTCTCTTTGTTTCAATAAGCAAAAGAACTATTTGGAAAAAAATATTAACTGAAAACAACTGCAACCATTCTAGAATTTTAGTAAGATTGGAAAGAAAATTTTTTTACAAAGAGTATTTTTTTCCCATGGGAATATGGCCTAAGAGTTATGAGTACTAGATGTTGAAAGTGTTGGCAACTAAGAATTCTAAAAATCACTCATCACCTTGAACTTGAATCACAGAACTACATTGAATCACTGTTGTGTGGAAAAATGGGAAAGATGAAAACAATATGAAATTTAATAGTATTACATATTTCTTACATGAAAATAAAGATATATTTGATGACTCAAAAAGTGATTTTATTAATGATGAAAAATAGTTGTTAAAATGTATGTAAATCACTTGAATGAAATTGTTTTATTGTGAAAATAGAAACTCGTATATCTAAATTAATGTTTCTATAACATGAAGTTTTATACATGAATGAATAACTATAATAGTGAAATAAGTAAAATAGGGAGTTGCCTAACTTTTCAACTATAACCTTAAAAGCTACATATGCAAGTCAGGGGAAAAAAAAGCTTTAATAAATAAAATATCTCCTTATAACAATAGCAGATTACCTCATATTTTAGGTTGCCTAATACTCAAACAACTTCTATTGCATAGCATTGCATAGAGAAAGTTGAATAAATGTTACTGGCAATCATTTTTATAAAAATAGAAACTTTGATTACAACAAAAAGAAAATGAACTGAAAGGAACCTAAATTTTAAAATAAAAATAAGAATCAAAATCATGATACTTTGTTCCCACTAATTAGGCATTAAATAAGTCCAAGATAATCCCACATATTTCTTGTCTCTTATTTCTGGAGAACAGACATAGAAACAACAACCAAAATGTACTGTGAAATTTAAATAATAAGAGATCAATTAGTCCAAAAAATTACACTGAAGCCTAAAGTATATGTATTTCTTTGCATACATAATATAATAGATTAATGTTAAGATTAGGTAGTGAACAGACATGAAATACGCCTATTCAAATATCATGGGTGGTTTATGATGTTCGGGCAGGGTTAGGAGTTTGATCCTAAAATGCGTGATGACTTCTAAGTGGCTGTTCTACTTTGATTTGAAAGTGCACTGATTTATTGAGTTTCAGAATACATACCTCTAAATAATCTGTGGAGCAGTCTGTATGATCTTCCAACTCAAATGCTAAAAATGTATAGTTCACTGTGTTGCCCCTTGTTGCTTGGATGGTCCAGTTGCAACGCTGATTTTCAGAGTAAGGATGTGGGTAATTTATGCTCTCCAAGATGCCGTAGGTCTGATTAACTATCACCACGTTCTCACATGCTGAAAAAAAATAAGCATGATAGGTAAAACCACTATCACCTGTATCATAATTGTGCCAAGATGTGTGTGAGATGTTTTTAGCAGGGCTAAAAACCCTTATATACATACATAAACTAGCTAAAAACACTATATACGTACATAAATATTTGGCACAGCATTTTTATAGTGACAGTGCCTCTATTTTGAACAAATGGGCAATGATGCTGCAGTGACTCAAGCTTTAAAGTGTCAAGGAAATGGAATATTCATGTTAAAATAGGCACAACGTTGGATGATAGCAGAATAACTTGACTACTCAGAGAGCAATATGCTTTGTTTGTTTAGAGAAGTGTATTAAATGTTCTTCAGTTTTTCTAACTTTAACAATCAAAAGAGGTAAAAATTCTAATTTTTAAATTCAACAGGTTTGAAAATACTAAGTCCTAGCCGGGTGCAGTGGCGCATACCTGTAATCCCAGCAGCTCAGGAGACTGAGCCAGAAGGATCACAAGTTCAAAGCCAGCCTCAGCAACTCAGTGAGACCCAGTCTCTAAATAAAATACAAAATAGGGCCGGGGATGTAGCTCAGTGGACGACTAGCCCTGAATTCAATCCCCAGTACCCTCAACTGCAAAAAAAGAAAATACAAAGTCCTGTGTGAATGCTAAATGTGAGTTGCAACATGGTTTTGCAAAACATTCAGAGATCTGTATGAAATCCACAACCAAGCCTGTGATTCCTCTAGTTAGTCATCAAGAAATTCTAACCAAATAAAGGGAAGTGAGAAAGATTTAAAGAAGAAATGAAAACCTGAAATCTTGAAAGAAAAAAAAAACCCTTCAGTCGAATAGTGTCATTTTCTTCAGCTGAATATTCAACAAAACCACACCAAATACCTCCATGTATGTCTAACCTTGGGAGTAAATGTCAATCCTAATGACTGGAACGAGGCATATACATACCTCTTCTCAAGTATTTTTCATGTTGTCTTTATGGTGTGCAATAAAAGAAAGCAGGAAATTAAACATTATATTGAAAGAGGTGTCTCTGAAAAGTATGGTGCCTAGTTATATTCATGAGGTCACACTGTATTCTGAAAGGTGCCTAGAACACCACTGATAAACTTAGGGTTTAGCAAAGTATGCCTTTGTGTCTCTTCAAATTCTTCCTTTGGTGGAACAAGGTTAATGTTCAAACCATCCCTCTTTAAAAATCTTTGGGTCCCAGTTTTGTCTGCAAAAGCTTTTTAAAGAATGATGTTGTTTTCGATGTCTTCAAGAGGTTACACCTATTAGGCACACAGATATACCACAATGAGAAAAACAGACAAAAACGGATTCATTCAGCCATACGGGTTGCTCTCATTTCTCACACATTCTATTATCTGCAAACCTCCAATTTCAAATGGCAAATTTTATACAAAATTTGACAGGTCACCTCTGATTTTACCTTTAAGGAATACTAATTTGTTCCTTAAGTATTCTGAAAGTCAGAGAGAAAAATTAAATATTACAGGAATAAAAAGAAAAGGAGGAGTCATCTCATAAAAAATCTTAGTGTAACTATGAAATGAACTAGCACACAATAATAAAATTAAAGAAATAATTATAAGCTACACCTAATAGATGTATCCCTAATAGAACCTGAAAGAGTTTTTTTGTATACATAATAATGATGAACATCTGAGGAACAAAGCTATATATTAAAATGCATTATTCAAAACTATTGAGAATTCGGTCAAATATATATAAGTGAATGTGAATCTTCAAATCCATGCATAAATCAAGGCTAGATATTAATATTCTTTCAACATCCAAGGGATACGTGTATGTGACATATAATTTTGTGACTTTCAATTCCGTTTTTAGATAACTGTGTCAAAATTACGGATCCATTTAAATTTAGTGGGGCAAGGACTTATACTTCCAAAAATACAAGTATTTGTTAAATAACATGAAGTCAAAGAAACCTTGTTTTCATGAATGCTCATTTTGAAACTAACTTCAAAAAACATTTAATTCCCCAGTGAGAAAAGAGTTGAAGAGATTATCTAATTTAATCTCTTCATTGTAGGAAATGAAAAGAAATTCTGGAAGCCCAGAGAAGAAAATGACCTCCTCAAGGGGTAGGGGCCAGGACACACCCCAGGCTTGTGGATATTTAAAAAATTTTTAAATTTGTTCTTTTTAGATATACATGGCAGTAGAGTGTATTTTGACATATTATATATACATGAGTGTAACTTATCCTAATTAGGATCCCATCTTGTGGTTGTACATGATCTGGAATTTCACTGGTCGTGTATTAACATATGAACATAAGATAGTTATGTTGCATTCATTCTTCTATCTTTAATATTTTGTTCAATGCCCCTTTGATTCAGCCACATTGCCTTATGGGGAAGCAAGATTTAAAAATAGTATCTCTGTCGGGACCCCGGTAAAAAAAAAATGTCCCTACTCACAAAGACCACAGTTTCCTATAAAATTAAGGTGTGTATTAAGGTAGAGGACCAAACCTAGGGTGGGAGACTACTTCGTACAAAGGAATAATATCTAATGAGAAGATTGTAATGTGTGATACACCTGAAAAAGTATTAATCACCATTACAGTGATCTTTAGCTGGATTGTAGCAGTCTCAAGATATTACATACTCTTTTAATTGTTTATAGTTGTTCAGATGATTTACTTATAGGAGATTAAATTTAATAAATAAGCATTTTCTCCTCATATGAGGAAGAAATTTTAAATTTAAAAATTTCACACAAGAAACTAAGATTAATTTCAATGGCTCAAACCCATGGGTTATTCTGCTCTCAGTTTCATCAAGGGTCTGATGTCCCACTCTAGACACCGAGTGACTGTCACACATACTTACTCTGCCAGTATTTGACCTCGAAGCCACCTCCTTGCTGACCTTCATTAGTCCTCAGTTTTAATAACATGTTGTCTCCACTAGAACGGATCAGAGGCGGTTTTTCATCCCCACAAAGCTGAGTTAACAGATGAGAGCTGGTACTTGGGCCATCATAGATCTTTAATAAAATATTTAAAATATTAGATGGTTGTGGCTATATGAAATCTAAAGGACTCTGAATAAATAGAGAAAAAATACTCAGTAGGACTCTGGCAAGGAAAAAAAATTATATATACACATATATATATACATATATATAGAATAGCCCTGAAATAAAATATCTTTTAAAAATTTGCCATAGTACTATAAACTCAGACCATGAACTCAGACAACTTAGCCATCACAGTAATAAGTATGTGATGTCAGGATAATGACATCACATACATTGAAAATGACATCACATAAATTGAAAATGAAAGTCTAATACATATTTTGAGGTCATCGCTAACATCAATGATCCTTTATTTTTGATTCCCTAGTTTATAATTTGTGAAACTTTAGTAGTTTTTCATATTTTTAGTGGACCATGGTGAATTGCTGGTATGACAAAAAGTCATATTTGGATGACTCTAATTATCTTCTTTAATTCACCAAAATAGTTCTCTAAATTACTATGTTTTTAATACACCTATAGAAATTATGTAGAGGATGGTAATAACCCATTATATAACCCCTTTTAGGGCATTTTTAACTACAACTTAACAGTTCATATTCAAAATGTTTTACAAACATGTTGTATCAATTCATTTGGTAATACTGTATTTAGAAGATTAATATTTTCACCAAGTTTCTTTAAAGTTTTTATTTTGCTTAAATTTCTTATGTGGATGTCCTGCTTAAATGCTCCCCTTTCCTGAAAATCAAAAATAAAAATAAATGCATAATGTGTATTTTAATGAGAACAGAGCAGTGAGTAGCTCAACTGAAATACTATAAATACCGCCAGATAATCCCAAGAGCAGTTTGGATGATGCTCCAAGTGGAAGTCTTTGAATTCCAGTTCAAACGGGCTGCCGTGGCTGGATTTCAACCACCAGTAGCATTCAGAGCTGTGGTAGTAGGGCATTGGGTAGTTCGGGGATGTGAATATGCCAGTGGAAGTGGTAAGATTGCCTCCACAACCTATAGGAGAAAGAAAATGCATGACAAGAGAAAGAAATAGAAAGATGCCTACCCTTTCCTTTTTTATAAAATTGAAATTTCTTTCTATATTGAACTGGCACTTCTCTTTAAATCAATGTGCAAAGCAAAACCACATCCCAGAAAAGTAGTTAGTCTATAATCACAATTCATATCAATGGACTTTCCTTTTCTAATCAAGAGGATAGCCCGATGACATATGCCAGAGAACTAGAATTTTTACCTTTGTCCTTCAAAATATATGGCTGCTGGGTTTTGTTGTTGTTGTTGTTGTTTGTTTGTTTTGGTACTGGGGATTGACTCAGGGGTACTCAACCACTGAGCCACATGCCCAACCCCATTTTGTATTTTATTTAGAGACAGGGACTCACTGAGTTGCTTGGCTCCTTGCCATTGCTGAGGCTGGCTTTGAACTCACAATCCTCTTACCTCAGCCTCCCAAGCAGCTGAGATTATAGGTGTGCACTGCCACACCCAGTTGTTAATTCCATTTTTAATTCTACTGTAAATTAAGAAATATTTGCTATGTTAAAGTTTAGTAGAAAGATGAATGATAAAACATAGTTAGAAAAAAAGTAGACAAGTGATGATAGACCCAGAATGACAATCCACGAATCAGGAAACCAATCAGATTGAATTCTCCTGTCCAAAGCAGCTCCTTGATCTTTACCTGTTAATGATCCATCCCAGTGAGCAGAGAACCCAGACTCTGTGAATATCGGGTCACTTTTGAATTCTAACCACAGTTTGTTACTGTGAGAGATGATTCTTGGAGGTAGATTTGATCCACAGTATGTTCCCAGGGATGGTGAGGTTTCATAGCCTCCATCTCTATGGCAGAATACAAAAATGAAAATTTATTAGATTATTGACAATACTACTGGATAAACATTTAACATCATTTAAACTACAGGATTACAGTCGACCAGTTTATCAAATCAGTCAACTTCTCTCAAAATGACTTTAAAAAACAAAATATTGAGTTTTCAATTTTGGCTTTGTTAAATAGTATTTGAGTGATGTAATAAAGAAGAACTATCATTTACGGCTGGCATGACATCTTATATAACCACTTGCAAGCTGAGAGAATGTGTTCAATCTTTATCTTCTCAAAGCCTCTGGCAAACACTTCAGAAAATATGGAGTACAGAAACCATAATTATTAACAGTATAAACAAGTATTGCTTAGTTTTACAGAGAAATCTTAAATGTTTTTCCTTCTAATTTGGAAATTTTCAAAATTTAATGTATCATATTTGTTATATTTGAAAAATTCTGGAAATAGTTATTTCCCTAAGAACTTTTTGACGTCTTAAATCTAATTTATAATCTGTACTTTATTTCAAACAAACAAAACATGATAATTCATTCAACATTAGATCCTAATGATTCGTTGTTGTAAATTAAGAAAATTATGTCATTTTAGCATGCTGTATTAGCAATTTTTTGCTTTAGTTTCTTACTTTATATAATACAATAAAAATTTTATAAATGTTGTAAGATTCTAGATTTGAAATGACAAATAAAACATTTGATGCAGATATATACCAAAATGATTAGCTTAATTTAACTTGATGTAATACAAAGGAGAGATATCAATGTATAAGTTCATATGCCTTCACTGTATAATTTTTGAAATACACTTTCATAATGCCAGGCAATGAAAGAAAGATGCCTTACACTGACATCCACAGCCCTAAGGTTTCTTTTTTTTATTTTTGATACCAGGTTGAAACCAGGGGTGCTTAACCACTAGGTAGTGTCCCTAGCCCTTTTTTATATTTTATTTAGAGACAGGGTCTCACTGAGTTGCTTAGGGACTCGCTAAATTGCTGAGGCTAGCTTCAAATTTGTGATCCTCCTGCTTCCCCAGCCACTGGGATTACAGGTGTGTGTCACTGTGCCTGGGTTCATTATTTATAAACAAAAAACTTTGTGAAAACTTTAATATGAGGTTGCTATCATGCCTTCATTTTTGTGACATAACTAGATCAAATGGACAGTAAATAGCCTGAAATTTAAATTAAGTTTACATAAAGAAAGTAGGTATTCAACAATAGCAAGTATTTCATTTCAAAGTGGTAATACATCTGTTCTCTTTGCCCAGATAAAAATCTGAAGTTTATTTCTAAACATTCCCTAAAAAAGTATTACATCAAAATAACCACTGACTTTTATGTAATTTTTTTCTATTTCTTCTGTCAGGCTTCAAATGACAAATTTTATCTCTTCTAAGGAATTACATAGCATAGTAGGGAGCTTTACAAAGAATGTTCATGTATTTTTTCTTAATCTTTCCAGGAATGATTATTAATAAAGATAAATGATGACAGAGATTATTTCGAAATAATTAAAGCGATTACCTGATTTCTACAAAATCTCCTATGCAATTTCCATTAATGCCTTCCTCCAAGGAGAAGTTTGTGAAGTGCAATGCAATCTGTTGATTGGGTTCCACTGTGATCCTATAAATGCATTCCAAGTTATTGGGGTAATTATTGGGGAAGTTTGGAGAACTTATCATCCCAGAGGAATCTGTGTAGTCTTCCAAGCATGCTGTAATAAGAAACAAACCACAAGAGAGAAAACAGAAAACATTATGCTACATTTATAATACATTCAGTAGGATATACTTCAGTATTTGTGCCTATGTTCTTGATTTTCAGTAGGCCTCCCTGGAATGTTCGGATAATGATTTCATTTTGAAAGGAAGTTTTTGGAATCTCAGAGGCAAAACAATTATTAGCAGCACACTTAGCCACATGGTAGAAATAGTTACATATATCTTGAAAGGGCTACTTATCTTGAGAGTGTCCTAATTTTTCTAGTCCATGCAAAGTACATTAAAATTGGCTTCAATTTAGAAATCTCAGAAGGGCCTTAGAAATAATTCAGTTCAGCTCTTCTTTTCATAATCTTACTTTAAAATTGTTTCCACCAAAGAACATATTCATGAGAAATAACAGTTTCCTCAGCCATGGAGTGAAGAGTAGAAGACATGGCATGGAGACCAGAGTGACCTTGAATCACAGCTCTTTTCCACCACTGATAAGCTCTGCAAACTCAGGCAAGCTACAACACCTCCCTGAGCCTTAGTTCCCCCATCTCAAAATTGGAGAGTTTTTTGTACCTCTGGAGATAAGTGTAAGAATTAGTAATAATGAAATTAAAGTGCTCAGTCCACCATGTATGTCCAATAAATATAGTAATTATCATTATATTTCAGGATAGAAGAGGTGTAATAAAGTATAAATCATGAGGAATAAGTTAAATTATTCATATAAACTATCTAGCTGAGTACCTGGACAATGATATGTCCTAAGTAAATATCAACTGTTCTAGTTGACTAGCTTTCAACTTTACCTATGCAGTCCTTCAGATTCTGTATTTAATAACTTATCCACTCAGTCACCTATGCTTTCCAAATATGAGGTATTTTATAAAAACAAAAACCTAATTTGGAGGCTTTTTAAATATATCTTCAATTGCATCCAGTAATGACCTAAACCTAGAGTTCAGGAATAGACAGAGGTCTCTGACTTAAAGATTTGGGGAAAGAATAAGCTACTATACTTTATTGCAAGTGAAATAAAATGAAGCTGTTTAGTTATGCTATTTCCCCAACTGCTGCTAGATAATTGTATTCGGAAGAAAAACAGTCATCACAGGTATTGGGAGTACAAAGATGCATAATAAAATATTATAGGTTCTACTATCTATGTGTAGCCCTCAGGGTAATGAAAATTTAATAAATATTTGGTTTTATTCTCTGTAAAATCAAGGCTTTACTTTATTGAAGGAATCCACAGTGATATTGAACCACCAACGTTATATTCGACTCCCAAAGCTTACTGTTCTATAGTCTGCCAAGATTTTTCCATAAGGGAGAAGGAAAGAGGAAAAGTCAGTAAGGAAGACAGAGAGAGGGGGCGGGGAATGGAAAGCCATACAGAGATTGCATACTAAATATTTCAGACTCAGTAATGAGTATTAGTAAGATTTAAAAAAATCCATGGATTAAAAGGACATTCAATGAAAGCTATGACCCAGGATCCCTGAATTAACACAACTGTCAGATCCACTGACCCCCACACAGACAAGTTACAGCTTTAGCCAGCAAGTCAAATATTTTGAGCAAATTATCTGTCCAACTCTCTTGTACTAAAGAGAGAATTCTCCTTGCTTACCTACTCTGCTCCCAGAGGGCAAGTATTGTAAATCTCTAATGAAACTTTCAGTGAGTCTGCAGGAGAATGTTACATATAATTGGGTTCCCTGGGAGGGAAGCCTGACTAAATGCCATTTTGAACAGTAATGATGGGCAATTTTCTTATGTCTAGGTTGTATGCCAGTGATCATTCTGGTAGTTGGTGGGAGTTTGTTCATCCCTAACTTTGAATCATACATGAAGATTCCTTGCCGTTGCTGGCTCAAAGGTAGACCGCAGTGTCTGATGGTGTTGGAGTGACCTTCATACTGTTCATTTGTCTGAAATGCTTTACCAAATAATTTTCCCTCCTCCCTTGCACATTCTTCAGCAAATAAATTCATCCCTGTCATTTAAAGTCCAGTTCAAATATCACATCTGTGAAAACTTTCTCAGCCAAGCAGAATTAATTTCTCTATACTCAATAAAATTTTATGAAAATAGCAATTTGATCTCCAAACATATTTTTTGTAATTGTTTTTATGTGAGTACATTTCTCCCACTAGGTCTTAGGATATGAAAAAGGTCCTATTAACCGTGATTAATTGTTACTTAGCACAGAACTTGGTCCAGATCAGGTCCCAGTAACATTTGTTAAAAGTGCATTATATAATGTGTTGAAGACTGAAGGGGTGGGAAATGTACCTAATTTTTTTGGTTACTATTAATTATTTTCAAAATGTTTTTATTTTTTCTTTTTAGTAATATATTACAGTAGAATGTATTTTGATATATTTTACATACATGGAGTATAACTTCCCATTTTTGTGGTTGTACACGATGTGAAGTTTCACTGGTTGTATATTTATATAGGAATATAGGAAAGTTATGTCCAATTCATTCTACTGTCTTTCCTATTTGCATTCCCTTCCCTTGCCTCATTCCCTTTTGTCTAATTCAATGAATTTTTTATTCTTCCCTAATCCCTCTTTATTGTGTGTTAGCATTCACATATCAGAGAGAACATTTAGCCTTTGGTTTTTTTTGGGATTTGTTTATTTCACTTAGCAAAAATATGGAGCATCTCACAAATCTGCATGCCATTCTTGCACAGGGGCTATGCCAATCTTCTCTGTATCATTCCAGTTTTAGTATATGTGCTGCCAAAGCAAGCACACACATACCTAATGTTCTTCTACCCTCTCTACCTGACCCAGTTCTTCTCTTTCAGGCTACTCCACTATTCCCTTCCTATAACCTCCTCTATTTTTATCACCACAAATTTCCTTTCTCTTTCTATCCTCTTTTCTGGATTGTTTGAGGTTCTTTAATATTTTGTCATATTTATTCAATCTAAAAATAAAAATCTCTGCTTCCAGCCATGACAATCAATTCGTACTGAATTAGCCCCCCCCTTTTTTTATTGGTTGTTCAAAATATTACAAAGCTCATGACATATCATCTTTCATATATTTGACTCAAGTGGGTTATGAACTCCCATTTTTACCCCAAATGCCCCTTTTCTTAACAAATATAAAACCAAGCAAAATTTTGGACAATAAGGAATATAAGATTGCTGTTCTAGATGGAAAGGAAACTTATGAGCTAGACTCTTGATTTCTTTGGTTCTAGAACTTAGCAGAATTTTCTGACCACAGCAGTGAGCTGAAGCCAAAGCAGTGAATGACAGTCATATGAAGCAGAGGAAGCCGAGATCTGAGTTTAGCACTGCCTAGAAACATAAGGAAAGCTACTGGGTGGAAGAAGGAGAGAGAGAGGAGAGCCAGATGTCTGGCTAGGGCTCCCATCAGTCTTGGCAGAGCCTGGGCTGAGTAACAAAGAGTGAGCGCACCAGAGAGCTGATACCGGTAGCCTGGAAACAGAAACAACATGTTTGTGGTCAGGGCAACTTTCTGAGCCAGAAAGGAAGTACTTTATCTACACCCCACAAATTCAATTGAGGCATCTAAAAGGTCACACTTTATAAGTGAAGACCTTGGCCAAGAGCAGGCCTTCTTTAGAGGTTCCCTACCAGTGTGTAAGTGTGACTCTTAAAAAAGATTTATAGGAATAGCCTGGTGCAGTGGCATAGGCCTATAATCCCAGCGGCTCAGGAGGCTGAAGCAGGAGGATCTGAGTTCAAAGCCAGTCTCAGCAATGATGAGGCTTTAAAGTACTCAGTGAGGCCCTGTCTCTAAATACAATACAAAATAGGGCTGGGGATGTAGTTCAGTGGTTGAGTGGCCTGAGTTCAATCGGTACTGCTCGCCACCAAAAAAAGACTTGCAGAAATAATATAGCTTAGAGATTGAGACCTACCAAATCAGAGGGCCGTGGGAAACACCTAGAAAGTTTCACAAATACACCTTTAATATTTTTAAAATAAAAGCCTACATCAGTACAAGGTAATTGGTCAGATTTAAAGCAAAAATAATAGTAAGGTAGAGTTTATAATATATAGAGAAAGAAAAGATATAATTAAAATAGCAAAGAGAAAGGGACAGGTTAAATCACACTATCATGAGATTATTACATTTGTAAAGTGGGAAGAGGAGATTGTAGAATATGAAGTGTTAGATGTGAAAAATGAAGTACAAGGTGTAAAGTATAAATCCACAGCATTATATTAAATCTAACCAAACCAAACCAAAGAGGTATTATTAAAAATCCATTAAAAGAAATAGAATGGAATAATAAAATACTCTGCAGATAAACAAAAATGACAGGAAATAGTAACAGAAATAGTAACAGAAGAGACATTGGAAAAAAAATCATGATGTCATGCCAAATCCAATTGTATCAACAATAACTGTACCAACCAACTTAACCTAATTGGCCATTGAAGAATACCACTCTTATAAATAGCAGACTACTCAGGTTTCCAAGTGTACAGGAAATGTACAGCAACATAGATGAGGTGCTAGACTGTAACACAGGTTTCAATAAATTTTAAATAATTGAAAACTTAAACTGTTTTCTTTAAATGAATGAAATTGAATTATAAATCAGTAAGATGTTTTGAAAAACTACAAATACTTGGAATTTAAAAAACAGATTATAAATAATTCATAGATCAAATAAGAAATCACAAGGGCATTAGAAAATGCTAAAAGCTGTAAATTGATGAAGATTATCAAAATCTGGGATATGAAGAAAAAGACAGTGCTTAACGACATATATATTTTCTGTATAAGAAAATAAAATTAGTTTATTTTCATCTAGAGAAACCAGAAGAAAAGCAAACATAGCCAATAATTAAAAGAAAAAAATAACATAGATGAGAACAAAAGTCAATTAAATAGAAAACAAAAATCAACAGAGAAAATTAACCATGCCAAAAATTAGTTCTTTGGGAAAAAAAACATTAAAATAAAAAGAATTGTATAACATTGATGAAAGAAAAAACAAA